CGTCGCCATGGAGTACCAACCAACTTGGTCACACACCTTGCTCCAGGGAGAGACGCTGTTTTCGTCCTTTTCTTTCGTGGTGAGAGGACAGCACTTAGAAGGGTGAACAAGATGTTTGGTGAAGCCTTCCAAGATTGCTCGGGCACGGCAGCGATCATGAGCGCGGGCTTTGAACCAAAGTACGCAACTCCTCCTCAAGCGACACAGCACTGCTCCCGTTTCCCCTCTGCGTCCATTGATGCTTTTTCAAGACGCACAAGAGGTTTTGTCGTTGACTAGCACTCGACAGCCGACCTCGCACGGGGGGTGATGTTTTCTTATAGCATGCGTTGTCCGTGCGACGATAACGGGCTGGTTCGTACAGTCTCTGCTTCAGCCACGTATGCCGTCACCACATGAGCACTTTTACACACGGAGAGAATATGCAATAGGTTGGAGTACGTTATGGCCATGAGCCTTATGCAGACTATGGCAGCGACAGCAAGAACCCTTTGGGGTGCGTTCACACTTGGCCTCGAAGAGAGCGAAAGCGGCGAAACTCTCCGGAAACTTGCTCGTTTCGCCGCCCAAGCGGTCTGAAAACTACGCCGCGCGACCGATGCGCAAAAGAAAAGAAAAAAAAAACAATTTTCTCGCCAAACCGATTTTCGCGCCACGCAAAATCAGATCTGGTTTCCGCTCCATGGCTTTGCTGCGCCAGATCAAACCACTTGAGCTAACCAGTCGGCCGCAGATTCAACATGGCGACAAAGGCGTCCGCGGTAGCTCGCATCGGCTCAAATTGCGAACCCGTGCAGCTTGATGGCCTCAACTAGGACGCATTCATCGAGAGCCGTATTTGGATTACGATTGCTGGGAACTCGGGAATCGGATGGTGCAGCAACAGCGAGTTGCAATGCTTCAACGTGCCTTGCGTTTGTGTACAGCCAGCTGAATCCGCCGCCGCCACAGCTGGTGCATTTTCTCTAGTCGTTTCTGCTTGCGTATCTCCCAAAACAACGTTTGAAAAGGTGGGATTTATCTATTTTCGCTACTTTGCGAGGATGACTAGAATTTGGTACGAACAGAAGACCCATTTCTAATTTATCAATAAAGTTTTTTACAAGCACTACTACTTTGTGCAATAATTTTCTTTAAAAATGTTTTAATGTCTTTCAAAGGCCTTAAAATGCTGAATCACCTTCATGCAAGAAAAAGTGAGAATCCTGCAACTGGTAGGACGAAAACAACCCTGCGCCGGTAGTTGCCTATTTTTCTGTTTTCTTTTTCTGTTGAAATAAAAAAGGGCGATGACATGAAAGAAAAAGCTACACTTGTGCTTCAGCGAGCGCAATATCCCAGAGTGTTTTTTTTTATTCCTTCTCTCTTATTCTTTTTCTTTTTGTTACGTACGTGGCGTCTCTCTTTCAGGTTCATTGAGAGCGCACTATTAATGTTTTTGGTCACTTTGTCCGCTATTTTGATATACGGAAAGCAATTTTTCGCGTATACTCATATATCTGGAGTGAAAAACGCATTTACGCGACCGAAAAACATGCCCCTACCACCGAAGGCAGTTGCTGTCCACTTCGAATCTATTTAGGTGGCCGTCGTGCGCTCTGTTGTTCGCTAGCTCTGAATCAACGGTCCTATCTGCTTTCGGTTTCTTGAACCTAATTACTAAAGTATTCCTGTAGATCCCGAACCGGAGTCTAGTAAATAATGCTGCAGGCTTCGCAAGTGCCGATGGCCGCTTCCAGCATCTCGCAAGTCAGGAATTACCTATGCGTTGTACGTGTTATCCTGCGTAGCTGGCACCGCTTCATGAGGTGGTAGCTATGTTATACGCTATCACGTATTGAGCTAAGAATATACGTTACTAAAATGCCGGACCAGCTAAAATATGCTAATGTAATATTATATTACGCTCATCCAGCACATCGCCACACGATGAACTGGCCCTAATGGCAATGCGCTCACAATGCTGACTTTGTCTAATGACATGGGCCATAATAATGTCATAAACCGAATTCCGCTTCGCTCCATGTTGCAAGAAGCGTCGGCTACCAATCGGCAGCATTTTTTAAAAAACTCAAAGTACACTTATTTACTAGCACATTCGCAGCATCGTGGAGGAGCAAGCAAAGATTCTCGCGAAAGATTCCTAACTTTTTCAGTTATTACCTGTCGAAATCGGGAAACCATACTCTTTGCTCAGTGACAATCACTAAGTATAAAACTCAACAAATCCGAGCTTAGGTTGATATTGTGCCACTTTTCTTTTTCTGGATTTATTTGTCACTACATCGCAGTGGTTATACGTTTTGTTCATTCTCAGTCAGGGATATCGGCTCACGCTATATTACTGGGTGCATTGAAACCTACAGCAAGAACATTCCTTAATGAAAAAAGGCAAAATATTATTTATTTATTTATTTATTTATCTATTTATTTATTTACCTATTTATTTACTTATTTATTTATTTATTTATTTATTTATTTATTTATTTGGTTTGTGTACATAGAAATCAAATAGGAAGGGAACAGGGTGACAACTAATACATGTAGAGACACAATGCCTGCCTGCTCCTACATAAAGAGGAGGCATAGAAAAAATAAGGAAAGAAGGAAGGAGAGAGAAAAGGAAAGCTTTAAAAAGGAGGAAAAAGCACACACGCAACAAAATAGTCACATCAAAAATGCCATAAACGTAATGATCGGACATTACACTGCAGCACGAACGGGCCAGGCTTCCGACTATTCATAGTGTTTTTAGTGAAGGCCGTCGGGAACTGAGAAGAGCGCCTCCAAAAGCGGTTCTGCGGCTAGTGCTGCTGGTATCTGGTGACCGGCAACCTGTGACCTAATGACATTGACAAGCATCTTAAGTAGGTTGATGAGCTGGGCATCGCATAGTCTTCTACAGAGTCCGTTTTGTTAGCAATCTTTTCCACTGTAGGCGGGTCCTTATAAGAGAAGCTGCTTCCGACGCTTTGCGAGAAATGTTCTTTTCAGAGACTGCCTCGGGTATTTTCTGTGGAAACGCCAGCCACGATGTTGCCGAGAGGCAGATGTTCCGCTTTTGCTGTTCCCTCTAACGTACTTTTTTAGTACCATATTCGAAAGTGTAGGTACATCAGTTTTGCCGTCAACAGCAGGTGGACGCGAACTGCGGTTGAGTGTCTTCTCTCTCGGTAATTTATCTTTGCCTCTTTTTTCAAAACGTTCACTTTTTTCTTCAAAGTGAGGCATTCTTAGTCTGTTGCCAAGGGCTCGTCGTTACAGTTAGGGCACAAAGATGTCGAGCTGTCGCAGAACTTTACGTTGTGCTTTCCGCCACAATTGGCACAAACCGGAACAATACGAGTTCGTGAAAATGCAACACACGCACTTAGACTTGCCAGCGACTCCTATATTTATACTACGAACTTTTTAGAGATACAGGAACCCTTTTTACATTGTTTTCTTTGTCCTTGGTAAAACAGGGGTTCTTTTGTCGATTATATAAAACTTACAATAGGCATACATACACAGCAAAGCTGCGTGGAAACTATTTTACTTGGCTCGTCATGAATGGGTTTCTAAAGCATGTCCTCCCGTACGAAGCAGTACATCAAAACATTCTCAAAACATGAAAAAAAAGCACTTCACACATTAGACAGGCTTTCACTCGTCCAGACAATGCTCCTCAAAGATGCGTGAGAAAAAATGTATCAGACTACCGTAGTTGTGCAGTGTTTCAGAAGAACATCGTCCATTAATAGGTCACCGACTCTTGATTTCTTGATTGAAAAAAATGATGAAAAGCGGTTCAGCCAATATTTCATAGCCCTTCTTTTATAATATATACTGTTGCATATCTACAGTTGCATGTGTATATACACTTGGAAGTCCACGCCCTGAAATGTATGCAAATACATTTACTATTACAATAAAAAGACTACTGCAAATGTTAGGTCGAAGAAAACGTCTTAGGCCCCTTGTCACGAAGAGAAGTGTGAGTGCACAAGGGCTTTCAATTCTTCTATATAGTAAACGCCCATAGAAGGTGACGTGTATTCTGTATAATAAACCAGGGTGTGGTACGCTTTACGAAAGCGTCATTGCACTCTAGAAAATTATTATTTTACACCTTGATATCATAATATATTCTGAACTGCGCCGCTTTATCTGGCGCAACAATGGTTGAGATGCTTAGCAGCGCCTTAAAAGTCATATAATTTCATCACCACCTACAGAGCTGCAAAACTTCTTTTTTGTCAATGAAACGCCCCTCTTTCCTAAATCACAGCAACAGCTCATAGTTTTAACGTTATTCCTAAGTTCCTCTCTTTGTAGATTTTTTAAGTAGATACTTGGAAAGATTGTAGATAAATTGAGAGCACTTTATAATCTATACGTCTATGAAAGACAACTTTTTCGCCTAAAGTTCTGGCAAGTTAGTAATACCTCCTCATCTTGAGCTTTTATCACCGTTACATATACCATGCTTGACGAAAAAAAAAGGTCAAAAATATATTGGCATTTAAAAACAGAAATGAAATACTTTAATGCAATGGCATACATCTATGCCACGGGATCGAATCCCGGCTGCGGCGGCTGATTTCCAATGGAGGCGACAATGTTGTAGGCCCGTGTTCTCAGATTTGGGTGCCCGTTAAAGAACCCCAGGCGGTCGAAATTTCCGGAGCCCTCCACAATAGCTTCTCTCATAATCATATGGTGGTTTTGGGACAATAAACCCCACATATGAATCAATCAATCAAACATGTATGCTATGCATTGTGATCTGCTCGTAGGAGTAGATCAAATTTTTTCGACAAAACAAGATAGCTCATATCGTCGTAAGTGTGACGTTCTCGGTCTTCTCCGCAAGCAAATGCAAGTGCTTGCGCAGTTGCAGTTGCGAAATGTACCGTAGAACAAGACAATAGATAGAATGCGGACAATGCGACGAAATTTAAAGCGAGACTTGACAACATAATCATCGACAGTCACTCTCGTCGTCAAATAGGCGCAACGACACGAACAAATCTTTCCTGCACGAGGCCGCTGCTTCACGGATCAGCTTTATTGTATATTCGAAAAAATATTCCATATTTCTGCATTATCCATCATGCTGAGTACGGCTGCTATTTATGTTACAGTTCTCTGCCTAATTCCTGGTGAGTAAAGGACTTCATTTATGTAGTAAAGATTGAAGCTTCTATACTTCTCTAAATGTGCACAAACACGAGGTGAAGTTAGAAGACACGTACATGACGCGCAATAGGTAACTTCAAAAAATACACATTTTGTGTTTGCGATCACCAAAGGTAACTGAAATGATTGGAGTGAGGCATAAATATGAATTATTGTTCTTCTAGCGATTCATTCATGTCTAAATATAATTTGGGGCAGTACGAACAGTACAACAGAACAAACGACAATATCGATAGTTAATGAAATAGTTCGATGCACACGCTAGTTCCGTCGCTTTAATTCAGAAGCCTATATGCGCGATTTCAATATAGCTGCCATCATGTGTACCTGCGTAAGGCTACTTCATTACACAAAAAACTTGACCCAGTTGCGTGACCAAGGAATCGAACAGGGAAAATGGCATAGCAGTATACTATTCTACAACAAATCCGTCAGAATGCTTCAATCTGCTTCTAAAAACATAAATAGAAAATCTTCACAAATGCCAAATCGAATCAGAATCACGTAAACAGTCATAATATTGGATAGAAGGAATTCATTGTCGGACCTGGCACCATATATATCATGTCATTTTAACAATGACTCGGTTACATATATTTTCTTGTTCATTAGACAGGCTTCCACCTATGGTTAATATCACCAGTAATAGCGTCAACAAATCGGTAAAATAAGGTGCAACAGTCGCAGATACTGACGCTCGTCCCGGATAGAAAAATGGGGCCAAGAGAAGATTGGCGTGGGCCTCCTGAACGAATTGAATTTCTGTATATTTTACATCCTTTATTTTCCTCACACACAATCCAACCCGTATAATATCCTAACGAATGGACCACCACGTGATCAAAGACATGTAGTTGAAGAATTTCATTTCCCTAAAGTCGGAATCGGTTTGAAACGTGCTATTGCTGCAATTAACTTCAGCCGCTTCCAGCAGATCACTAATATTCAGCCATCGTGAGAAGCACAATTAAGCGCCCACAGCAGGTGCGCTGCTTCGCAATTATTTTTGCATTGCCAATAAAAAGCACTTATGCGCTTTAATTCAGTGCACACTGAGCAAGCATGGGCGTGGGGCTCAATGTTGGAGGCACCCGCTTTTGGAGCGTGGGGTCGCTGTTCAAACCGTATCTATGTAATGAATGAATGAATAAACTTGAATAAATTACAGATTAACCCCGGTACCACCCCACCCTTAATTCATCGATGATCATGGCGGTGTCCTAAGTGAAGAGAAGTCCTTGAAGCCGAGCAGCATCTTCGGTTTGCCGAACAGCACAAAGCTGGTCACCCGGATCGTCCCTGGGGGGGGGGGGGGGGGGGTATGAACAACAAGAGAGTAGGCAGGGAGGTTAACCAGGCACATGCCCGGTTTGCTACCCTACGCTGGGGGAATGGGAAGGGGGCATAAAAATTAGAGAGAGGGGAAAGAGAAGATAAAGAGAGAGAGAGAAAAAAAAGAGGATTGGCAGTCAATCGGTTGGCGCGTATCCAGCGGTGGCACTACACAAAAGTGAAAGGTAATCACGTAGGCCTGTAGTGCTCAAAAAGCACAAGACAGCTTTTACTACTTTCTGAGCCGACGAAAGGCGAAGACGGTGTTCCAGTAGCATCTGCATAGAGAGTGGCCGATCGTCCAATTGGTGAGTGCCTATTCCAAGGGACATAAAGCTCATGAAGCCAATCTGCAGCCACGGAAACACTTTTTTGTTTAGAGCACAGCTCTTCCGCACCCGTTCCTGAGCTGAGCGGCATCGCAGTTGTCAGCGTAATTGAATGAGTGAACAATGATCAAAGACAGCCATAAAATTACAGTAGCTCGGAGTACCCCACAATAGCAATCCGCGAGCCGCTGTGTTAGAGTTTGCAATGCCTCGTGCGCGCTCGCGGTATTTGCGACAGCTCAACGCATGTTCCTCGAGAACGGCCATCAGAAAATAGCTTCGCTTGTGAGTCTTCAGGGACATTCAGTGATCTCAGCGTTGCCTTGTTTATTTTTTCGATGCTGATATGTAAACACTCACCCTTGAATTAAAACCATTAGTTCAACTTCAATGAGTATTGATAATGCGACGTCATCTAAAAGCTGCGACCGCTTGCGTCACAGCTGGGTATTAGCACGTTGGCTTAGATATGGCTCCCAGAATGAGCGCGCCTTTGCGCCGGTGTATTCGGACATCGAAACGCATCACCTAGCCGTCACGGGATGCCACGAGCAGTTAATAGCTACGCCTTTAAATCACAACCCTTTACTAAGTATTCACATAAACACATGCGAGAGGGAGTGATTCAACAACAGGACACCACTTAGGTTGACGTCCGACATTCATCATCTTATAACTACTGCACCAAGCTCTTACAATTAAGTGTGCTCACTCGATTCTACAATAACAACGTGCGTCATTGCAGATGTCGGCAAACGACGAAAATGCAGAAAGACGAAAGGGACAATGAGTACATGGTGGCGACCAAACATGCGATTTGTCGAAAGTCTATAACGGTATCAACTCGCTGATTCACAATTTTGGTTGGGGATCCGCAGTAGCCCCGTGGATGCAGGCTACTGTTGGAAATGTCTGACAGCCTTATCCTGCAAAGCTGCTGTAGACGCTCAGCTAAACCTCTGTTATTGGAACCACAAAGCAAGTATGCTCACCATAAACAGGTTCACGTTGTCCATCCTTGAATCTCCGTGATTATGGCGCCCTCCAAGCGTCCCTGCGAGCGCGAAGCTACCGCGCACAATAAGAAGGGAGTGTAACTAAAGACGCGCATGTCCACTCGGCCACCCAACTGTAACCCATGTAACCAACGCAATGTGCTCCAAGAGGGTAAAAAGACTGAGGAACGAGGTGGATGTGCTCGCTAGCGAGACACCCGTTTGCTTCGTCAAGTGCCGGCATCGCAATGGCACCGAACGACAACTGCACAATTTATATGATGCGCATGGCGGAGCGTTCAGCACTAAAGTGGATGGAAACGAGCTACGCTATGGTCAACTGACTGACGGGAATATATCAACTCTTTTATTCTTCTTTTTACAATCTATACAGAACCAAAAAGATGACTGATTAGTGTCAAGGTGCCGTGACCCTCTTTGCTTGTTTTTTTTTCTTTTTTAGTGAAGGTTTTCTTAGTGAACATGGTCATGACACTTCTCTTCATTTTGTGTGTTCGAATGTGTAAGTGAAGTGACAACGAGTAGTCGTCATGCGTGGAATCCCGATAGACAGGGTGCTTAGTACTGATATTGCAGACCTGCTTCACCAAGAAATAAGTGTCGCAGAGGAAATATCGCTAGTAAGCTTAGTCAGGGTAGGAAAGGTATACCCGCTTCTTGCCTTTGAACTCGGTGTGGCTTAGGGGCACTTTAAGTAACACAAGAGAAGTGCAGTTACAAGCTTAGCGTAATGCCTTAAGTAGATACATAGCCGGTACGTTTCTGCTTTGCAGAAGGATGAATTATAGCGTTGCGGGTACTTCGACTGTGCGCTACAGGGAATAGAATTCGATGGTTAGCATGTCGCCAGTGCTGACACAGTTGACACAAATGTTAAGACAGTTTTTTTCATATACATCTAAATATTGCCCAATAATACATTGAATTATGTTTATATGCCTCGTTTTACTGTTTGTAAGCTTAACCAGATTTCTTTTTGCCTAATCAGGTTCTGAGCTCCTCATCTAGATTTCTTACCAAGCGGATGTCATGGGTCATGCATATGTTCCTAATCAACCAGGCTATTGCTTACAATATTTAAGAAATTTATCCTCAGTACACAAAATCACCTTGTATATAGGCTAATAACTTGAAGACTAAACTTAGGAGGCTATGAAGCACTTTATATTTTGATTGTCTTCCAACACGATAACATCAATGATTAAAGGGAGGGTTGAAAAGTCTGCAGTTTGTATTTCTTGTGATAAACTCGAAGACAGGAAGTATCGAACCCTTTGTCGCTGTTGGCATGCTTTGCTACGCGCCAAACTTTTTCTGGGAAAGCTGCAGGATAACGTACCACTAGCTTTTTTTGAGCCACTTAACAATATCTATAAAAGGCCGACTAAATAAAGATTGAAAGCTCACCTGTGCTTCAAAGCGGGAAGCTGTTGTGACCACCGCCCACAATTCGTAGGGAAAGTAACCATCTTACACAATTAAGGCTTCTTTATTATTCAAGAGATCTCTGTCACACTGAATCTCACTCGAAAGATTCATCTCACGTTTTATCGATGTTCCAAGCATTTTTTTTCATGCTATAACCAACCAACGATGGCCATGGCCATGGCATTCCAGTGAATTCTGCAACACGAAGCGTCTTTCTAGTAATACTGCGCAGTAAGTGAAGTAATTCTTACATGTGTTGCTTGCAGGAGCATTTTCTCAGAATGAATTGCTCTTCCAAAGTGAAAATCACTGTCGTCGGTTCGTTTCACCTACCATTGTAAGTATGTATGTTCATAGAGGACCACATTGTCAATCCTTGACAGGGTTGTTTATGTAGTATGTAAATGCATTATGCTGCAGTAAACAGCCATTTGGTAAGGAAGGGGATGCGCAAGGCAGTTATTTTTTATACGATTGACGTTCTTACTGCAACTGTTTGTGCATATCCATGTGTCACGCAATTTGTTCATACTGCTAAAACCTAACCACCTTCCCTTATGAAACTGAGTTCGAATACACGACGCAGAGTGAAGGGAGACACGCCACAAACGCTCAGGGAAAGTCACACCAGAGCACTTATGGCCCGTATTCCCTTTCACCGTGTGTTGTGTGGTCTCACTGAACATTCTGTTTAGAACAAAAGTGTTTATGTTGCGCTCCACCATGGCTCAGTTGAAGTATTTTCTTCCCCCGGATGTGACGTTGTATATATATATATATATATATATATATATATATATATATATATATATATATATATATATATATATATATATATCCTAACAGGTTGCAAAGAAACAAAACGAGAACAGTATTGTTTCGTAGCGAGGGCTTGAATCGCTTCGCAGCACGCGGCACAAACCACTAGGCCACCGAATTTACGCCGCTAAACTTGATAACGGCACCCCATTTATATGCACCATCTACCATTGCCAGTGCTCAGTGCTCGGTATCTTCAACGCGTTATCGTCATCAATAGTGAGTTGGCGCGCATCTAAAGATGGTCGCCTCGCGCCACCCTTCCCGTTGCTATGCACATGCGCCTCCGCATGACATGGGCAAAGTGCGTATGCATGTTCTCTGGAGGAGTCGCTCACTTGAGCACGTGCTTATCTAGGAATTTGGGCACTTTGTGTCTCTTGTGCTGCCACCGCAAGCTTTCTTTGTAGTTCCACTAGCTAAACAGAGCATGAAGGTCACTTTTTCTCGCTGCTGCGGCCGCGTTTACAAAAGGAGAACACTGCGCACACCCGCAGAAGTAAGGATTGTGACAGTCGATATCGCTCGTCCTGTGTACACTTGCGCATTTGTCCTGTCTGTCTTTCTTTCTGTTTGAGCAGAGCCCAGCTGAAGTGGTCTAGTGACTAATATACTCGGCTGCTGACCCGCAGGTCGCGGGATCTTATCCCGGCTGTGGCGGCTGGGTTTTTGGTGGAGGCAAAAATTTGGAAGACCCGTGTATATGCATGCTAAAAAACGCCAAGTGGTAGACAATCTAGACCTCTCCACTGTGGCGTCTCTCATAATTATATGGTATTTTTGTGGCGCTAAACATTACATATCAAATAATCAATCTGTCGATCTGTTTGAGCAGAATGCTTTAAAAGTCGAGCTGTGAGAGTTGTTTCTCTGCGCTCGTCCTGTGTACGCTTATTTCGTGCTTGAATTTTGCTGTGTGCGCTGCAAGTGTTAAGCTGCTTGTCGTTCTTCGCGTGATTTCGCAATTTATTGCTGTAGCATTCATTCCTTCGCCCTTGCGACGAAACAAAGGACAACAAACGCGGAACTATGTCTGTGAAGACACGTTATACTTTCGTGTTGCGCCGATTCCTAAAAAGAAGGCTCGGCCACTTTTTTTTATGAAGGGGGGTTAGAAAAAGGAGGTAACGATTTAGAGCACAGGGTACTCTACTATGGGAGAGCTTAAAGCCGTCCCGAGGTGAAAATGGAACATGCTGTACGGCTGCTGCGGACGTGCAGCTTGATGAAAGCAACATAACTAGACCGCTTAGATAACCTGCGATCAGTTTTTTTTATTGCACAGTATTAAGAGAGCTAGAAAAAACTACATTGAGGAGGCAAGGCTATGTGACACAGTTTGGACTTTTTTTTTCAAATATTGGTTCAATGATAATCACGTGAAGTGTTTGAAGGTGCACGTTTGTCCCGTATGTCACGTCCTTATTTTTGTTTTCTTAGTCATGTACCGCGTAAGACCTCATACATAAACAATTTGATAAGAAATAAGTATCACGTCAGAACCAGACGCAGCAGTATTTTAAACTATGGTAGAGTTGTGTACCCTCTTTCTTGCATGGAATAGCTTGTGCATTACATGCACAGAATGTTCAAGTAATGATATTTTTTTTCAGCAGCTCGCTTTTGTCGTTGTAGAGGTAAAAATTGTAAAAAATCAGAAGTCCTTTATAAATTCTTACATGCTTACAGAATAACTGATGCACTGCATTCATTCTTAGATGAAGCGGACACCATCTGAAGACTGTGCCTAAAAGACTTCGGTTACCTTTACTGTCAAAACTGTTATGCGCAAGTTGCAACTTGCTTGGTCGTAATGACTAATTTAAATGCATCAGGAGGTTTTGTAATGACATTTTCGTGTTGCAGACATCAGCTTTGGGCTTGTGTACGTATCCCTGTCTTTTATGGTCCAACTATCAACCACCGAAAATACTAGTGATCTCGGAGCCAGATGGCACCGCTTGCAAGGTATGCAAAAATGTTTGTGTAATATCATGTGCTTATTGTAGTTTTTTGCAACATTGAAAACAAACAACCCAACTTTATAAAAATGCAATGAAATTAATCAGTGACTACAAATGTTAGTGCTATTTGTTTCACTGCTTTCGCTTTACCAAAAAACTAATATCTTTCGCAAGTGTTTAACCGTCATCGCGAATAAAAGACACTGCTAGATTATCAGTAAGACGTCACCGTAGAGCTCAAAATATGTGATGTGTGCTTCCCTCCTTTAATAAATGCCTTTTAATATTTTTTGCGTATATGCTGAAACCCGACTTCTTGACTTCGACACTGGCAGCTTTCGACAAATCAATGCAGTAAAATGATCACTACAAAAAGGGAAATCTCGAAAAAAAGAGATATGTAAAAAAGTTCTTGTTCTTAACAGTTTAATTCTGGTAACGATTAAATGCACATATGCCCAGACACTGTATTAAGCGATAATGGAGTCTGAAGAGTGTGACAGTAGATTAGGGAGGTACGTCTCCTACATATATGTAGATTTGTTTTTATACGGTCTAAGTCAATTTCGGAACTAGCGCTTTTAAAAAATGAAAATTATGACCTGTTAGTTGAGACGACATACTGGTATGTTGCTTCGAAGTCAACGCGATTCGAAAGTAATGAATTTGTATCGTTCCTCTTTCAGGTATACAACGGATTTTGGCAAGCACGACAGGTAGTAACCTCTCACCTAGGCTCTAAATTTTTACAACCTTCTGAGAAGTGGTGTGCATTAACGTTTTCTTTTATGCCATGGAAGCTGCACTCGCACGGAATCACGGCACGTTAAGGCTCTCTGGCGTTCCGTTTGTGTTAAATCACAAATACGAATTGAGAGCCGAATTTCCTTTTTCAATATGACCAAAGTCACTCAACAAAGTAGAGAATTCAATCAGGATAATCCATCATGCTGTCTAAATAAAGCTTCTTAAGCAGCAGCCGTTAGTGTTTCGCATACTTAAAGAGACTGTCTACCACTCGAAAAAATTCTTCTGATTGTGGCGCAAACAAAAAGACCGTTCTTCATATCGGCGTCAACGAGCATGCTCGAGTGCCAGAAAAAAAGTAATCATAATTTTAACTTGATGTTGAAAGTCGATAAAAAGTGACCCCTAGCCTCACCCAAAAGTGAATGTGGTCAATCTTGACAGTCTATAGGTAGAACAAAAAATGCTCGCAGGAAAATTTAGTTTGCCGAAAAATAAACACGTATAAATTGAAATGGTATTTTGTGCACTTTAGGGTGCTTCAGGTTATGCCAGAGTCTAACTTTAACCTATTTTTTCTCATGCGTTCTAATACCCGCTCAGTGGCACTGTCAGGCGGCTTACCTGCCTGCAAACGGGAGAGCAACGCGAGCACGTCGTCCGCCGCCGCTCATAAGAAACACAAAAACATGTTTGCGTGCCTAAAACGACCACTAAGGTTTATTTTGTTTTAATAATAAACACAACTTGATGAAGCCTGCAAAAAGCGGACATGGTTTCAGTTTTCGACCTTCACCGGCACCAACCCATGTTGTGGGCCGATGGAAGGAGTCCTTCCATCCCACCGATGGAAGGAGTCAAACCACAGAAGCGAAAAATTCTATTTTAAAATTTTCTACGCACTTTCCAGAGAAACTGCTGCAAGATTACAAACTTTGCATGGTACGCTTTTCATTGCACCACAAAACAGGAGAGGAATGAAGGATGGTAGACCGTCCCTTTAACGTACTGTTTCTTGAACCCCTAATGAATCGTGGCTTTTTGTGCTGCGTTTACGAGCATGCAGTAGGTCATCATAATTGGCATTGAATTGAGAAGATATGAATATAACTGAGAAGTACGACATATAAAACGTATAGACGTTTTGAAATACAGGGCATGCAAATACGTAAACAAAAAAATAACGTACGACACTGCAAACGCGGACTGACCACTCAGGAAACACAAAACGGTGGTGAAGAAAACATAGCACAAAAAACTTGTCGCATGCCCATGCAATACGCAGACGTTTCCCTCCAGCATGCCGGGTGTTCTACGTGAAAGAGAACTGTTCATGCATTTTTTTTCACATTTATGCAAGTTAATCGATGTTTGACGCGCGCATACGCTGCCACTATTATCGTGATCGTGCCACTCCGTTAACCAAAGATTACTGAAACATTAAATGTCGTTAACCCGAGGCTCACCGTTTAATCTATCCTTCACATTACCGATAGTGTAAGTGCCCGCCAAAATTCGACGTGTGTGCAGTTTCTTACATGCATAGTATCGACTAAACGCGCCTGATGGTTGTCGCAAGCAACAGATAACAGTGAGAGTGCATGCGTGAGTCAACCGAAGATTAAGTTGCACAAAGATGAAATTTGTTTCAATGACAAGTATTTTTTACGTATAGAGTCCTCGCGACTGCCCAATTTATAGGTTCGCCTACTGCATAAGCATGCACAGATGTCCGTACCTTCTTCCGTTTTTCGCCATTGTGCGTCTCTTTAGTTGTCAGCCGATGTTTGTGGTGTAGTGACTTCTTCCTTTCGTCCCTCTGATTTAAAGCACATACTCACCCACTAGTTGAGCTCCCTGTGATTCTTTAGAGAGTGGGAAAGCACTGAAATATTTCAAATATTAATATGGTGTCCCAACTATCTGTCTCAAAAATTCATGTGGAAATAAGTCAAAATATGGTTTAGGTTTAGCATAATTTTAAAATCATATGTATCATACTCCTAATGTATTTCGTATTTCTGATTATAGGTTGGAAACTGCCAAGCAGGATTCTGCCACAGTACCCAGAATTACGGCTCACTGAAGCGCATCAAAAGGGACATCACCCTCTCTGCTTCTTCAGGCCAACCAAATATTTCTGCTTCCGAGAAACAAGTGCAAAGTAGGCATGGTTCGGAGAAGCCAAAGACCTCAAGAACAGAGCAAATTGAGCGTAGGAGAAGACATATGTGGAAGCGTTGTGACTGTGCCAGCATGAGGGGATTATTCATTGACATTAGTTATGTAGTAAGTGGTTTGCGCTTAGGAAGGCGTGGTAAAAGAGAACGACGTCGTAAAGTAGGCTGCCGGGTTATATGTCTTTTTCTTATTAACAAATACAAGCATGACCCGAAGTGGACCAGCCTTTTCGAAGCTCGCTTCAGCCCTCCTTCAAGCGTGCAGCTGGCGAATGCTACTGCCGCTTTGCCAGAGGGCAATACAGGTGGCGTGAACATCAGCAGCAATCAAAGAGGTTCCACAACAAATAAAACAAGCGCAGTTGGTCTTATTACGGTAACTAGTATTCGTGGAGTAAATGACCCAAGTTCAATTGGAAGCACCGGGACACGATTGACAAATAATCAGACCTCCGGATCTTCTGCGACGGGTGTTCTTACCGTTGTCCCAGGCAATAAAGCTGGCAGCGGGGTCAGCGGAAGCAGTAACACAGGCGCAGGCACTGGTTCTTTGGCTGTTGGCTCTGCCAGTATCGGTATCAACGGGGGAACATCGGCTATTCCCCCCATTACTGGCAATACTTCAAAAGATGAAACTAGCAACATTACTAATCGTGGCACACTTAACAACAGTGCTGGTGCAGGATACCTCGGCAATGGTCACGCTAATCTCACTACAATTACGGCACCCGCAGAAGGTACCCTTTCTTCTAGCCATACAGGAACTGCAGGAACATCTGGCAAACCTGTCTCTACCACTACTCCTACAAGCGTTGTAGCCATCGGCACGTCGTCTGAAGCCAATCCACAAATTGGTGGTAGTGGAAGCAGCCTACTTGTAAATGCACATGCGTCAGCCACTGGCAATGGCGGTATATCTACGGGAAGTGTCAGTGTTCCTAGTTCTCCAAAAAATGAAAGTCATCATGGAATATCCAGTATATCTGCTGTCGGCACTAGCAATGGCACCTCTGCTGGTGCAGCAACTGGCAAGGATAGTGGCACCGGCTCTAACAATGGGGTGGTAGGCAGCACGGGGTCAACCAAAAGGCCGTACCAGGTCACGGCAAATGCAACTGTTCCCACAAGAACTGGCAATGGCTCTGGTATAGCTTCCGGGAATAATGATATAAAACCTCTCGAGAATCCTGGAACGTCCGAAAGTTCAACTCTGCCACCTAAAGATGCCAATTTGAGTTCCAACCAACAAGGCGCACATGGCTCTGGTATTGGTAACGTTGGCAATGGCTCAAGCAAGGAAGCTGGCACCAGGTCTCCGAGTAATAACGCCGGTAATAATCATAGCGGCTCACTAATAACTGACACGAATGTCCTTCTAAAACCACAAGTCGGAAGTGCTAATGGTCCCAGCACTACCACTTTCGGTGAAACGGGCAGTGGCGGCAACATTGCTCTCGGCAATAAAATAGTCGGTAGGGGTCCGCTTGAGGCAAGTGCTGGTGGGCTACTCGGGAAGCCAAAGGCTGGCCCTCCTACGAATACAGTGGCAGGTGGCCGACAAAACGGTGGTGTTTCAAGTACCGCTACACCCAGCCCTGTAAGTGAGAACAGCACCAGTTCTTCTGGAAATGGCTCGAACATCGATACTACCAACACACGCATCGTAGGTGTTGCAATCAGTACACCTATAACAGGAACTGGCGGAAAACCAAGCACTACCGGAATAGCCATAAATACAAGCAGTAGCGTTGGTGTGTCTGGCCAAAACGCTAGTGTCTCTAGTGGTGGCGTGTCTTCCAGTGGTGGAGGAGCTGCTAATGGCATCAGTAACAATGTTGGCGTCCAAAATGAAGGTGCTACTGAAAGTAGCGTTAGTTCAGCAAATCCAAGAGGCGAAATAATCAGTCCTACGCTTAGCAGCAGTGGTGCAGGTGTCGGAATCACTCCTGAAGCCGCAGGAACTCCAGTTACCGGAGGGGGACTACCTGTTTCTTCGACAGCTCCCACCAACGTTATTCCCACGGTAACTGCCGGAAATCGCGAAATTAGTGGAGCCACAAGTGGTACAGCGCCTACGGGTATTGTAGAAGTATGGGGCACCTCCAGTGGAGGTACGACTGCTGTTATCAGCACTGGACAGCCAAGCGAAGGCGGTGGTAATCCCAATGGCTTCCCTGAAGCCACACCTACAGGCAATCTCTTAGATACGGGTTCAAGATATGGTGCTGGCTTTGGTGCGGGTGCTATACCTGGCAACAATCCGCTGTTCAATTTTGGAGGGACATACGGGAGGGGGGCCACTGGCTTCGGTAGCACTGGAAATGAAATAATCAATGTATGGGGCCCGACAGGTAGCGCATTCAATCGAATCGGGGCTGGCTACGGAAACACTGGTACATTAGGCAGTGCACCGGGCAGGCAACCTTTTGGCAGCACTGGTGGTTATGGTGGTACTGGGCGATTTCCCGGAGGCATCGGCATATATGACGATGATATCTTCTTTCAAGATTAACGTACATGTGCTAAAGCGGGTAATGCGCGAGAAATTTCCACGAAACATGGGCGATGATTGGGTAAAACATTACGTACGATTTCGCTGTTGAGGTTTCTTGTAATAAAGAATTTCTTGCTTTCGCAATGATTTTCTCCTCTGTGGTTACTAAAGTTTGAATTTTATGAAATACGTATCAAGTACGGGGGTAATCCTTTTTTCCTTCGTGTGTCCAAAGTTTCCTGAAATTAATTGCCTCCACAGTTATTTCATCACAAATATTGATGCGCTGGATCATACCACTCATATGGATGCTCATATGCTGATTCTTGCCTTTCGCCCTCGTTAACATCCGCTAGAGACTGGAACTCAGTCATCGCAGGGGTTAACCCTGAAACTTCCTACAATGAATTTTCAAAGATATTTTCTAATCCCTTTGCATAATCGACCAAAATAAAGAATTACAAAAATGCGTTTTCAGCTCCGTGTAACTGATGGCTATCTAGCAGTTTTCTAAATTGTTTTTATAAAAAAAACCTTGGGAAAAAAACAAAAAATGGCCCTTTAAAATCACACATTATGATAGCCGTAAAAAGTATTCTAATATATTAGGAAAACTGCTCAAGCAGGCTAGAAAACTGTGCTAGGAAAGCGAAATCAAGTGTGCTGGTACTGATGTAAAAAAACAATTGAAAGTATTAAACTTTGTAATATAAAAGTTGTGAAAAACTAATTGTATTACGCTTGACTTCCCATTTATTCGATTTTCATATATTATCACCAAATCAGTTCAAACTGAGAGAGGGCTACTTACCTAATTTAGCATATAAAATATTTGATAGATACTATCCAACAGGCAACTTATTTAGGAACATGGTTGGCACAATATTTATTGATTTATCTAAAGAATTCAATTTATTTTTTCACAACACACTTCTTTGCAAAATTAGATCCTATTGGTATAACAGGCTCAGCACTCAAACTACTACAAATCTATTTGGAAGACCGAGAGTTATCACATCATCAGCCTTACTACGGCCACTGCAGGAAAAAGGCCTCCCCCCAGTTTCGCCAGTCAACTCGGTCCTGTGCTTGTCCTGCTGCTTTATATCCGCAAGCTTCTTAATCACATCTGCCCAGCTAACTTTCTGTCTCCCGTTGACTCAATTGCCTTTTCTTGGCGTCCAGTCAGTTACCTATAACGACCAGTGCCTATATCTGCCTATGCGCTATACATGCCCGGCGGATGTCCATTTCCTCTTCTTGATTTCAACTATAATATTCTTAACCCCTGTTTTTTTCCCGACAGAAAATATATTGTATCAGTATCTAGTACTTGCGCGCACCCTAAAACAAGTAAAATTGAGGTATTGCAGGGATCAATATTTGGTTATATCTTACTTTTAACATACAATAGCAACCTTTCACAATGACTAAAACTATCCGACTATGTTCTTTTCGCTGACAACACTACTATTTTTGCTGAGATATTAACATTATTTTATAATTTCTTAAACTTATGCACGACGCGATAGAACATAGTTATCTCGTTCCAACAAAATAAACTGCTCTTTCCTGCTACGAAATGCACGTTCGGGATTTTTCACCTCAAAGCAAAATCATTTTACAGTATCTTTATCAATAACCTTTGCTTCAAAAGCACTCTCTCCTACTGATTATGTCCTGATTGTTGCTGTGCCATTACATAAACACTTAGTATTTGATGAGCATGTTTTATCGTTAACAAAAAGCATCTTATGTCATTATAATGTTAAATTCGCAATCTCTTCAATGTAGAAACTATTTCTTGTTATGTTTTCCAAAGCCTTTACTACGCTTTCAAAATATCTCTTTACAACGCTTTCCAGTGTTATACGCAAATCAGCTATTGCATATCATCATGCGGAAACCCATATTTCGTTCATTTATTGCCACTGCAGCACACTCAAAAACGAGCTACTCGTATCATGTGACACAGCACTTACACATCAAAAGCATATCTCCATTGCTCATCCCTAACGGCATTCTGTCAATGAAAAAACTTCACAAATACTCGCTCGCAATTCTGATGCACAAATCTATGAACGGAAAGTTTCCGTTCCCCATAATTATCCAAAGCCAGTATTATGACTCTTTGTCAACTCGTTTCGCTTTCAGCTACAGCTATTTATTACCAAAATCCAGAAATAATTATGGCAAGTTCCATATATATTTTCTCAGCCACACAGCTCTAGAACTCGTTACCATGCCATTATGAGATTCTCACTCGTTTCCACACAATTAAGTTGAACCTTCAGTCTTAGTTGCACTCAGCGTAATCATTTTATTATCACCACTTTTTAGCAGTTTTTTATAATCTAATTATGTTAGTCCTATGCTTCTTTTCTTACAGCGTTTCTTTTGTGTTCATATTTAGCTGTGTTTTACATACTTTTCTTGCCCATTCCTTGTGGGAGGTTCCCAGTATAGTCTGTTGCCTTTGGGACCTCCCTCTGTATTTGTGTAATCCCCAAATATAGGTACAATTCGCGTGTAAAATAAATCATTGATTGAGAAAATAAAATGGGGACTCCTACACTTCTATGTAACAGACTGTCTTGTCAACATTCCAATTTTATGCATAATAATCGCTAGAAGCCCAGCAAAGTAAGCGCATGGGGAACTCTGAGTTTAATAATAAATATATTAATCTTATATAAATACTATACATTTATTATTGTGTAGTTCTCAACAATACATTTGACGAAGAACAGCTGCAGGTAAAAGCTGCTCTCCGAAAAAAGCAGCTAGACAAGGACCAAACCATCTTTCAACACAACAGCAGTGGCAACAGGGAGCTGTACAAACTCAAATAACGTGCAATAAAACGTAGAAAGCCCAAAGTTTAAATGAGAAAAATAACAACACTAACAATAACATAGGAACTGGAGAGAATAGTCAAAAACTAAAATGCGTATTTCACACTATTTGGACTGTGTACAGAGTAGGAAATGTGTGCCAGCTTTCTCGTATTTAATAAATAATTGTAGAAACTATGCAGGATTACTTTTCTTTGTTTCTTCATCTTCCTTTTCTAATTCTTCGCACCACTGATGCGCGGCGTCAAAAGAACATTTTTTTCGCGTACGCTCGAAACCACTAAAGCAAAAGAGTGCGACAGTTTAATGTTTTCACTTCTGAAAATGCTCACCTCAAAGGAAAGTACCGAAATTGCTAAAAGTGAACCCTCCAATATCCATCTGTGGCAAGCCACTCTCTTGCGGCGTGACATTTTCAGGAAGTATGCACTTTTTATGAGCATAACTGAATAGTTAGCAAGACCGGGTTACCTGGTCGCTGGCATGTAGCAGACACCACTTTTATTCATGCCAAGTATTCATGAAATATTAGCAAGGTAATGAAACTTCTCGTGTAATTAAACTGAAGTGAACGTTAAGGAACATCACGCCGTCGAAATTTCCAAAGCCCTATTGACGTCTCTAAAAAGCATATTGCCGCTTCTGGACGTCATATGCTTAGAAATATTCAATTACTAAATTTATATTTGAACATATTTGATCAAAAGCGAAGGCTTTGCACTGATCCTCTAACGTGCTCAGACATAACGGGCATAAAGTTCCGACTAAGTTTGAGAAGTGGTACACGCAGACAAAGAAAGAAAAACGGTGAAACATAGTCATATACACCAATTAAGCCTGCTGGCAATACAAACTTTTGGAAGCGGGAGGCAAGGAAAGTTATCAGAAAAGTGAACCCGAAAAAGCAACGAAAGCAGAAAAAGACGCGGGAAGAAAAAAACAATCAATAAGCAATTGTCCGAGAAAGCGTCACAACGCTTTCAAAGCATCTAGGGCTCAGGACCCTATTGTTCACTCTTCCAGGACCCTTCCCCCCTACAAAGGACGTCTTTCGATTCTGTTGAACGTATTCTTAAAATATGATCTGGGCCTGCTTCAACGGTCACCTAATACAATACGCGCAGAAACGCATGTGCCTCTTGTAATAAGTTTGGCTGGCGTTAAAGAAAGTTGTTATGATAATAGGATTTTCTGCAGTCCTATAGCAATGAACGCTGTACTGCGCAATATTACTGTGATATAGGTATGCCATAAATTGGCACGAAATACAACTTTTCGATGTGAACACTTGCCCTCAAATAAAGAAAACAAAAAGATTTTTCAAATTTCTCTTAGTTCTGGGCCTGCTGCAGCGGGCACTCTCACAGAGGGAATTGGTGACCGTTTCTTCTCGTATTTTTCGTGAATTCTATTGAAAATGAATTGAAATAAAATACAAAATTGATACCTGCAACATTTTACACCTCAATGTTCTAAGATGAGTTTAGCCATTTTCAAAAACATGTCAAGTCACGACGAATAGTTTCTTACCGGCTCCTGAACTTGCGAACCATACATGAACCACCCTTTCAAAGGCTCCTAGACAAGTTTGTCCGTAGCCTAGTGAACGACTACTTAAGATAAAAAAGTTGCTGAGGCAGTCTTTAAGCGTCGTACTAAATTTAATAGAACATTCCAGTAGATGTCATGCACGCATTGCGGGAATCGTATTCATGTGAACCAGGCAGTGAGAAACGGCTTATGCCACATTTTTACGGCGAAACTAGTAATCTGATGACAACAGCAACCTAATACGGTGACGTTGTTCTCCACCACCTCTGCTGGTGTCTCTAACCACTGCTTCACCAAATGAGAAAGAAATTTGGGGGACCCTTCAGCTTCGCACTCAAGAGTTGAAGGCGACAGCAATATCCTGTTGCTAGGGCGTACTTCAATCATTTAGTGCAAACTTTTTATTGTCTCGTGTTACTCAAGCAGTTTAAAGTGTAGCCTACAATGCAACTGATAAAGTTGAAAGTGAATTGTGTCAGGGGTAGCATATAATAAAACAGGAGTAATTATGCGCATGGCATGTTCTCGAAATTTCTATTCACCCACTTTCTAATCACCCAAGAAATCTCACAATTCTTACTTCGTCGTGTGTGAGCAGCGCGCTCCTTTCGCAAACGCGGCCGCAGCAGCGAGCGAAGTCACTTTTGCGCTCTCTCGATTTACGAGTGTGGTAAGCGTGCGCGCAGTAGAGGCCACGCTTCATGGCGCGCCGAAAAAGACACATGCCTGAGAGTCACGACTCTACTCAGCCGCTCGCACCCAGACCATAGAGTAACATGAAAAGTACGCGATTGGTCCCTCGAGCCGAAAGCGGCTTAGCTACGCAGCTTTAGGCCAGCCGTAAGATAGCAACACATCACTCACTGCTTAAAGGAAACACGCGTACAGCATTTTTTCTAGTGCATTACAAGGCTGCGTGTTTTTGCGACTGTGTTTGGGGCCTAAATCCGTCTTTGTCATCTGCGATTGTGCCGAAATGCCGTAAGTCATGCAATTGAATGGTAAACACGCTACTTCTATAACATGGGTCGCATCACGTCATCGGCATCGTCTCAACACGATGACATCATCATGCCGATGACATCATCATGTGACGTAACGTTTGACGTGATTATGTTATCACGAAACCTTTGACATGATGACGTCAAAACCTTACCTCATTCGTCAAACTTTACGTCACCAATGAATCACTGGTGTTTCCATACTAATGGCTGTTCACTTTATGAACCAAGTAATTCTTGCGCATTCATACAGCAAAGCTGCCTGAATGTTTGTGAAGTTGGCTCTCCTATTCATCGCTGGTCATCCACTAATCAAATATGTGTGCAAATTGTTGGATCCACACAAGCCTTTTACGCAGACATGGAGGATTGTTCGTGGCCTACGAACATCGCCACATCAACATCGCCTCTTCAAGTGTCTTTCTCTCCACCAAGGCCGCACCGAAATTGAAGAAGCAGATTTCTGCATGAAAGTTGCCGGTCAGGCATCCGCGTGCACCACGCGCCACCTAGAAAACGCTCCAGTTTCCAGAGATTCAAGAATGGACACCTTTTTCTCTCTAGAGGAATTACAAGCTGCCTTGACGGCATGCAAACGATCTTCATCGCCTGGTCCGGATGGGATCACGTACATGGCTCTATGCAACGTCGGAGAAGCAGCTCGACGGGCCCTTCTATCCGTGTACAACGACTCGTGGAGCAGCGGATTTATTCCTCATTTATGGATATCTAGCCGCCTCGTCCATGTGCTTAAACCAGGTAAATCTCCTCTGCACTTGACCTCTTATCGCCCCATCGCGCTTACCAGCTGTTTCGGGAAAGTGATGGAGAGGATGATTTTGACTCGCCTAGAGTGGTACCTGAAGCACCACGAGGTATACCCTCATGCTATGACGGGCTTTCGGCGTGGGCGGTCCGCAATTGATAACGTTATAGACCTGGTTTCATCTGTTCACTATCAAAAAAGACTTAAAGCTTTATCTGCGGCATTGTTCTTGGACGTGAAAGGTGCATGCGATAACGTATCACATGAAGCCATTCTGGATGTCATGCAAAATGTTCGCATAGGGGGTCGGGTTTAGCAATAGATCCACAGCTATCTGAAAAGGCAGAACTTTCTTTGTACAGACGGAGAATGGCACAACAACGCATCATTGCAACCGTCGTGGTGTGCCTCAAGGTGGTGTTCTTAGCCCCACAATTTTCAATCTAGCGCTACTCGGCCTGGTTGACGCAATTCCAGAATCTGTCCATCTAGCAATACATGCAGATGACATCTGCATCTGGGCGTCAGGCGTAACATGCCTTCATCTGCGTGCCCGGCTTCAGAGAGCGGCTACAATAGCGACAAAGTACCTGGAAGAACGGGGACTAGAGTTGTCATTAGAGAAATGCTCGCTTAAAGCATACACGCATAAGGCGATGAGCCCATATGTTATTAAAATCAATAGACACACGATCAACTACGTGAAGACCCACCGATTGCTCGGAGTCATAGTTGATCACGACCTCTCTTGGAGCTCTCACATCGCCCACATGAAAACTAAACTCACCATGATAACCCACGTACTGAGGTTTCTTGCCGAAAAAACGTGGGGTGCATCGGTACGAGCAATGCTTCAACTGTACACTGATCTCTTCTTCGGTTCTATGCGATACGGCTTACCCGTGCTTTGCGGGATCCGAAGAACAAACTTGCGCGTCCTCCAGTGAATCCAAGCCCAAGCACTGAGAATATGCCTTGGTCTCCCGAGATGCGCGTCTACAGCAGCGACAGTCATCATTGCGCGTAATTATCCAGTCAACGCAAACATCCGCGCAGACGCTTAGAGAATGCACATAAGATATCTCGCTCGGCTTCCATCTCATCACCTTGCCTCACTTCGAACTTCTAGGCCCACTCAGCGTTCAGCGCAACTGTAGCTCAGCAGTGCACAGTGCTCCCATTGCACTTCACGCATGCAGCACGGCCGCCGATACCATTATTGTGCCTACACCCCCTCAAAGCACTTCTTACATTTTCTGGTATCCAAAATAAGAAAAAGTCGTCGCATCTAGCCCTGAAACAGGCCACATTACTCTTCCTGCAAGAGAAGCACAACGGACGCCTTCACATTTACACGGATGGCTCGGTGTCTTCAGTAAGCTCTGCAGGGGCGGTAGTTATTCCTGCGAGGCACATCACAATTAAATTCATGACATCGCATTTGACGTCGTCGACAGCTGCAGAACTCGCCACCATACGTGCAGCTCTGGAGTTTATAGTGGAAGAACCTTCGGAAATTTGGTCTATCTTCTCGGACATGAAGGCAGCTCTTCAATGTCTTATGTCACCCTTTCGCCATGGACGTAATGAACAGTAAGTAGCTGAAATAAGGCTTTTTCATCACCAAGCAATCGAGAAACAGCACAGCATAGTGTATCAGTGGATACCAGATCATTGTGGTATATATGGCAATGACCGCGCAGATGAAGCCGCTAGATCTGCACACGATGGTACCCAATACACAACCATCCCGTTCTCAAGAACCGACGCAGCTACAAGACTTCGTTCGCTTGCACGTGACCTCACACTGGTACAGTGGAACTCAACAGACTTCACAAACGCGCGCCTGCATAACTTGGATCTCGATCTGCAGATTCGTCTTCCCTCAAGGATATCTCGAGCTGGGAGACTCTTCTATGCCGCCTGTGGGTTGGAGTTGCCTTCACGAACGCATACTCTTATCTCATTGGAATGGCCAGTTCTCCTACATGCACTTACTGCAGATGCAAAGAAACCATCGCGCACCTTCTGTGTGAGTGCACACCTTTCAACGCGCAAAGACAAGAACTCACTGCAGCTCTGGATACACTGGACGATCGGCCTTTGTCGGATAAAAGGATTCTGGGTCATTGGCCGAGCCCATCCTCAGCCCAGAAGGCTTTGAAAGCTTTGCTGCGCTTTTTGCGGACAACGAGCCTCAGAGACAGACTTTAGTGTCGTATACTCTTGGATTTTGCCTTTCCACTGTCGCAATTTTTTTGTAATTTCTCTCTCTCTTCGCAACATTTCTTTTTAACATCTTTCATTCCCCTCACCCCTTTCTCCAGCACAGGGCAGCCAGCCGGTCTAAGAACTGGCTAACCTCCCTGTCTTTCCGCTTAAAGTTTCTTCCTTCCTTCTTCCACTATTCGAAGGCTGGTTTGGCCAGCCAAAATTTTGAACCCGATAGAAGTATATAACCATTAATTTGTGGAGGATGACAATTTTTCGTAAGATCAGTATACATAGCACTGCTTGGCATAAAGCGTGGACATTCTGAACGACAGTGAACAACGTGGCGGTTCAAGTGAGAGCTCGTGGTGGCTGCCAGATCATTACGATTCTAGGAATTTTTCGGAAGTAACTTGTCCAACCACAGACTATCAAAGCATACCTTTTTATTTACTAATACGTATGGCCCCAACTAATCATGTACGGTAACTGAATAGGGTGAACCAGTTTACTCTAGCCAGAGTAGCCGATAGAGAGGCACTCTCGGTAAGCCCGTATCCGCTCACAAAACCAAGCGCTGGCTAGCGTTCCGCAAGCAAGGCGAAGAGGTAGGTAGGCACATGGGCAAGGTGCGAAATATGCGCGGTAAGCACGTCCACCGTAATGTGAATTTTGACGCGATGATCCTAGGAAATAGCTATGGTATGTGCTTTTGATGTGCAGAGTAGTTATCTAAGACACTATCAGTGCCTGAACCTCGCCATTTTAGATTGTCAGCATATTAGTGCGGCTTGTGTGCGTCGTGTGCCGGGGAGCTGTACTACAGGTACCCCAAAAAGAGCGTCCTGTATAAATGCAACATCGCGCGTACTGACCTACTGCATATTTGCTCTCCGAGGAACTAGAAATGCTGCGTGATGCTGCGAGGTGCTTCTTTATTCGGCCACTTGGAACTCAAGCAGAGACCACGGTTCATGCAGACTTCGGAAGACTTTTGCGTCCTGCACATACTTGATATTCTGTACAATCATAGAGAAAGTATATGCGGTCAATATGATCCGCATAAACGCAATGCAGATGAAGAAACAGCACCAAAATTGCTGTAATTGACGCTAATAAATTATTTTCGAAGGGACCCTAATTGAGTTGTCTCACATCGTGGAGAAAGCTCGCTCGCTTTATTTGTATTACTCGGAGCATTCGGTTTCTACAGGTTTTCTTTACAACTGTAGCACCTATTCATTTGAACACAATATAATATATACATGAGATACTATTGGTGTATAAAAAATAAAATGCCTATATAAACCAGAACAATTTAATGTTCATCCACTGTCAAAATGCGAAAAAGCATTCCGTCATAGCCGTTCTCATTGTTTCTCTTAGCGAACGCAACTTGTCGCAGCTGTAGAACAATGACTGCTAAACAAAAATAGGTCGTGAGTACGTCTTCCTTAGAAAACAATTGCCGTTGTCAAAGCTTATTCCTGGTTTTTCTAATACAGACATTGGAAATAACGGAGATGCATGCTAATCAGTGGGTCTTCTCGGTGTTCCTATCCACATTTGGTGAGTGAGTAATCTTGTCACGCTTACCTGCACTTCCCCATCCGCACAGCCAGAAACGATATGGTAGCGGTCAGTCCGTGTTCACGCGCTATTCACTAATTATTGCCGCTGGAAGCACACTTCCACCAAGGACCACGCCAAAAGAAAAAGAAAACGTGTAAATACATAAAAAGGTTCAGACAGCCTCACCTCCGAAATTCAGTTTCAGTATCATTTTGCAATATACATTCGACTTAGAAGAATTGATTACAAATGCTATGCAGACGATTGTCTTCAATTGTGACGACGGCAATAAGATTATCGGTTAGCAAAATATATAGATGATATACGAAAGCCTGAAGTGCAAAATCGAGGAAACTTACCCGCAAAGTCAACGTGTATGAAGACTGCTATACAAGAGAGAGAGAGAGAATTTATTTACAGAAAGGTAGAGAGGTCGGCCTGAGGTATAGTTTGCTCTGGCCTGCTACTCTACACTGGGGAAGGGTGACTGAGGAGTGAAAGAGTGATGAATGACGATGGTAAGGTAGAGATATGATATGTTCTTATTAGGCTGGGTAACTCTACAGACGTGCATCCAGTCCAGTGGCTTCTAAGAAAGCGATGACGGCTCGTATAACCACATGTGTGCTGCTGGCGTCAGGCCAAGGACCTAACACATCCTCATCAGGTAATGGTCGACTAATATATCGGCCAATCGAAGATAACAGTTGCTGATGTTCGCTTGCATATGCTGGACAGTCGCAAAATATATGTTCGAGCGTTTCTGGCAACCGACAGTGACCACAATTGGGACCTGTGTCATTACAGCCAATCAAGTGGGTGTAACGTCTCGTGTAAGCCACACCGAGGCGAATTCGGTGGGTAATGCATGAGATGCTTCGTTTGAACTTGTGAGGCATACGGAACTTCATTTCCGGATGTCATTTGTGCAGCCGCTTGTGCTGGTGTTCTGGTTTCTGCCAGTGCTCTAAGATGGAGTTGCGCATTACGCGTCGAAGTAGGATGTTAGTGTCTTGACGAGAAAATGCGATGCACGCTTCCGGGGCACTATTTAAAGCTGTCTTAGCTTCAGCGTCCGCCGCTTCATTGTCCATTATGCCACAATGAGCAGGTATCCATTGAAATGTCACATCATGTCCATTTTTTGTAGCAATGCCAAGAAGCTCTGCTATTTCAATCGATAAAGTATGTAATGGACCTTGTCACATGAAGCCATCGATGGTTTGAAGAGCAGCTCTGGCATCGCACAGTATCGTCCATTTACGAGCGGGTTCTTTCGACATGAAACGTATTGCCTCCCGAATAGCAACAAGTTCCGCGGCTGTTGGTGTGGTCTTGTGATCTATCTTGAAACGTCGAGCTATCTTCATCTGCGGGATGACAAAGGCTGCGGCGGAGGTACGCGACGTGGTAGATCCATCAGTATATACGTGTGCCGCACCGTCGTACATAGTATAAATGTGCTGCAGTGTAAGTTGCTTTAGGCCGATCGATGATACAAGGGACTTCTTCATAATCCCAGGAATCTGAAGTATGACAAGTGGTCTAGGCAGGAGCCACGGAGGTGTCTCAGGAACACGTGAGGGAGAGAATCTTGGCGGTATGATGTTCTCGAGCTGCGATATAGCTCTTGAATAACTGCAGTCTCGGTGACTGGCAGAGAGCACTGATAGGGGATGTTGCGTGTGTCGAGTCAACAGGCGAAGATGGACTCGAAGAGGCTCGCAGAGCACATATACTTTAATTGGACAAGCCCGAGCTTCGGCGAGAGTTCCCTTGGTTGATGTGCATTGCGGTAAGCCCAAACATGGGCGCAACCCTTGAGCTTGGATGCTTTCGAGCGTGCTCACACAACTGGGTTTCATGCTTGAAAGCACGGACATGGTGTATCGTAAGTACCCTACGAATAAAGATTAGTACAGTTGCAGGAGAGCTGCCTCCGAAGGGCCCCATCTTGCTCCGGCCATGACCCGAAGAACGTGGACAAAACTCTTGAGCTTTGACTTCAAGGCTGTTGCGTGTTTTGACCACGATAGATTCCGGTCGAGGATAACACCGAGGAATTTGTGTTGCACAACAGCATGAATATCTGTTCCATTCGCAGTTAGTGGGTATCTTGTCATTTGTTTTCGTGTAAATGCAAGCAATGCACATTTTTCAGTTGACAGTGTGAGACCCTGGCGACGTAGGTACCTTGCTGTGATGGTCACTGCACGTTGTAGTCGAGCACGCAGTTGGGGGCGCGTAACTTCAGAAGCCCAGATGCAGATTTTGTCCGCATATGTGCTCACCTTCACCGTGTCAGGAAGTTCAGTAGCAAGTCCAATCAAGGTCATGTTAAAAGGTGTCGGACTGAGAACACTCCCTTGGGGAACAGCGCGGTGAATGTTATAATGGCCTGTGTCTCTATCGCTTGTTGACATATACACGGTACGGTCGCTAAGGTAGCTCACGATCTATGCATACAGTCGTCCGCCAATTTCTAGATTCTCAAGCGCATCAAGGATGGCATAATGTAAGACATTGTTCTAGGCGCCTTTAATGTCAGGAAAAGCAGCAGCCACTAATCTGCCTGGATATCTTTCCTGTTCAACATTGGAGACCAAGTTGATGACCCCGTCAATGGCTGATCGGCCTCTCCTAAAGCCATTCATGAACGCTGGAAAGCGATTATTGCTCTCTAAGAGCGACTCTAATCTCGACAATACCATCCTTTCTATGGCTTTGCCAACGCAGCTGCTTAAGGCGATCGGCCGGTAAGATGAAAGCTCAATAGGGCACTTCCCCGGTTTAAGCAGTGCGATTATTCGGCTGCACTTCCACTTATCTGGAACATTTCCTGACTCCCAAGAGGTGTTGTAGTAAGATAACAGGATCTGTCGTGCTTCTGTATCAAGATGGCGAAGTTCAGCGTACGTGATTCCGTCCGGCCCGGGTTCCGGTGAGTTTCGTGAAAGGGAAATTGCAGCGTCCAGTTCCTGCGTTGTAAAAGGCACTTCGAGGCGTTCGTCAAAGCACGGGGGCACAGTGGTGGTAAGAGTTCGGCTCACAGTGTCAGCGGTGGAAACAACAAGGCTACAGTAGTCCTTGGCTACCTCTAATTCACTCCGACCCTGATGTAGAGCCACCGCATGGAATGGCCAAATTTGCTGTGTAGAAGATTGTAACTTTGTACTATCCGCCAGATTTTAGAGAGACGCTGTCTTGGGTCCAAATAACCGCAGAACGACCTCCATCGTTGCCTCTCCAGCTTGTCGAGATGCCGAAGAACGTGTCGTTGAGCTTGACCACAGGCTGAGAGGTCTGACAGTGATCTTGTTCTTCTGTATCACCGTTCTGCGCGGTGACGGATAGCACGAAAGATAGCACGAAGGATAGCACTGCTATACAAAAAATATATTCAAGCATATATCAAAAAATGCACACTTTTCTATTCACGGAAACTAAATATGTAAAGTAATGTTACCATATCATTGCGTATTTTAATAAGAAATGTGCAATATGAAAATATTGAATTAAGAACAGATTCAGTGGAATTTTAACGGCTCACTTTTCTATGCTAGGGACAAGCGTCATCAGAACCAACATACAATCAAGATAAGAAAAGTATACAGGACGTTATTTATCAATGTTGATGTTAAAATGTGAAAATATTGAAGTTGCCAAAATGGCAATTAGACGCCGATAGACCGCATCAGCAACTTTTGAATTACTATCGGCTGTGACAACAGATACGAGGCACAGACAGCAAACACACACTTATTCAAACCCAGTTAGATGCAATCTATTTCATGTTGACTTTTATTTAACAGATAAATGCAAGGCATGCGATGCAATGGCTACAACGAGTCACATACTGGGAGGGAGGTCAATGTTAGAGAACAAAGCACGTAGAGCACACAGGCAGTTACGCGCAAGTAGTGCCAACAGGCAGGGTGTTCTGGTAGGTCACGTTCATCTGCTCCGCATTATACGAACAACTATACGCCATATAGCGATTCGAGGAAACCACCCTAGCCCGATGACTAGGCTGGTACTGAGGCCCGGCCCGAATCAACTTTGCTGCTATTCATAAAGGTATTTCGTCGTCCGCCATTGTGGATAAATTGTTGAAATGGTGCGTTACTGACCCGAATGTTGCAGGTATAATCACGACAGCAGCAGTCGCATTTTGATAGATGCTAAATGGAAGAGGTCCTTGTACTGTGTGGTGGCAGTGTTCGATAAAGAACACGAGGTAGACAAATGCCTCGAGCCCTCCCCCCACACCCCGCCCTCTCACTAAGATATTCCTCAAAATCGTATTCTCGATTTAGAACGTAAAGTCCCAGATGTTTCCCGATTAAACAAATAAATGTATTTCAACATCATCGTCATCGTCTTCGTCATCTGTACCCTCCACATATTGCGAGAGCGATCAGCGACTCTTCTCTGTCAGTTCGACATATCAAGAAGATCACTTGGGCATCTTCCATATATATATATATATATATATATATATATATATATATATATATATATATATACCATCAGTGTCTCATAGCTCAAGCGAGGCTAAATAAAGTGGCTCCTCATTAGTCTAACATTATTTCAGCACCATAAAACCATCCAGCAACCATGTCATTTTCTTTGTATGTGTTTTACTTTGCGCTTCCTATGCAGTTTAGTGGGAGGAAAGCAAAGTTTTTTCGCCTCTGTTAAACTGGAATCGCAAGTCCTGCTTCAGTCTGTCAAACGCTGTAACCTACCCTGTGTAACGCTGTCCCTCCGTGCGAACGCACTGCGCGTCGCAGGTGTTTGGCGCGTTGCCAATTAGGTCATGCCACTACTGTGCGTTGATGTCACGTTTCCGTTTCAGTGCGCGCTGACATTACACTCCCCCTTGCCTGCCGCGCGCTTGCCGCGGCGCCTGCAGCTGCCGCCTCGTACGCTCGTCCGCAACGCCTGCCGCAACTGGTGCTCGCTACCCCGCCGACTCGTTGGTTCACGCGCAATAA